CTGGTGAAAGGAAATAAGAATAAGATTCATACGATTAAATAGGGAGTAATTGTAATCATGACTACTAGTGAATGTCACAACTGTAAAGGTAGAAGTTTTGCAACATACAGGGGGAGGGGGGGCGTGGTTAACCTTACATTCCAGGAACAGAGGACCCTAGGACCATCAAGGGAGAAGAGCATGGGCGAAATGTGGGAGCCCTGGCGTGATGCTGTGAGTTAATGCATTGGACTGCAAAATTGGCTTGAACCGCAAGGCTGGCAGTTTAAGCTCACCAGCTGCTCCTTGGAAAATCTGTACAGGGTCACTATGGGTCAGAATCAACTCAACAGCACTTAACAACAACAACCAGAGAAGCAGCAACACCAGAGATGGAGGCAGAGATGGTGACATGGAGAGAGAAAGCAGCTGAGGACTCTAAACTCATGGAAAGAGAAAGGCTGTGTGCTGGAGGCCAGGAGGCTGGCTTCCAGAATATGCCCTTGGATTGTTTAAATATTACATATTGCTGAGTTTTTTTGTGTAATCCCCTCCCCCACAAAAATAAAAAACAATAGTGGGAATAGAAGCAAATACTGTTGGATGATGATGCAAGGAGGGAAATATGATCATTTCAATGAAACAAAATATGACCAGATGAGTACAAAACCCATGTTCTCCCACATAAACTATCACTCAAATTCACAGCAAAAGCTTTAAAACAAAAAGAAAATATGTCAACTTAGCTGGATCACGATTCTCTGGTTTGAGTTATGTAACGATTTACTATAGCAGTTATGTAACGATCCCCCATGGGCTCTAAGTCAATCAGCTGTAAGATTAAAGGTGGATACAAACCCTTAATCCCATCACAACCCTGGATCCCTGGGGTGTGATCTGCAACACCTTTTATCTTACAGGAGATAAAAGGAGAAGGGAGCAAAAAAGAGGGACTCCGGTACCACCTAGGAGCTCTGGTAGCTTAGTGGTTATGAGTCAGGCTGCTAACCTCAAGGTCAGCAGTTTGAAACTACCAGCTGTTCTGCAGGAGAAAGATGACGCTTTCTGCTCCCATAAAGATTTACAGCCTTGGAAACCCTATCAGGTTCGCTATGAGTTAGAATCGACTCTGCGGCACGCCACCACCACTACCAGCTGTTATTGTTGTGAAGTGCAGTAGAGTCGGTTCTGACCCCTAGCAACCCTGTATAGGGTTTCCAAGGAGCAACTGGTGCGCTTGAACTGCCAAGCGGCTTTGCAGTCTGAAGCATTAACCCACAGAGTCACACCAGGACTCCACCCAAGAAAGAATAGCACTTTCCTTGGCCCCAGGGGGTCCTGTGCTGGGAGCCTCCTAGACTTAGGAGACAATGAGTCTTATTACAGAGCTGGCACTCTGCATTTGGATTTCTAGCCTCAAAAACATGGTGTGATGCTGGAGTTTAAGTATTAAAATCAGTCTGCACGGGAAAAGTTACCCAAGAACTAAGACTCAGTATTTTTAGTTAATGAAAGAAAACTCTGGTCCTTTTTAGAAATGCGTTTAAATATATAATTTAGTAAAGTCTTTTTCTTAGTATATAAACAAACAATATAATCTGATGCAAAAGCTTGGAATACTCACAACCGAAAAAAAAGATATAAAACACCTGAGGCCTAGAATCCCTTAGAACATTTTGAAATGCCTACAGATGGAATTGCAAGCTAGATTCAGAATTGAGGATCAGAGGTTTTATGATTTATACTCTTATTCAGGTACAAGCACTACGGTCAGGTACACAATACATCTTAAGTCTAAAGTTATGCCGAATTCAGTTCATAATCAGTTACTTTGTTGTTGTTAAGTGAAAGGTTGACAGTTCAAACTCATCAGCCACTCCTCAGAAACCCTATACATGGTCACTGTGAGTTGGAACCTACTCAGCAGCACTTAACCACTGCATTTTTACAAAACAACTCATTATATGCTTTGCCAGCCATGCCCCTCTACCTAGGCAGGGTATTTTTTGTAGGCATGCAAACATTTAAAAAAATATGGTAAACAAAAAGGGGGAAATAGACGCCATGTGAGTATCGCCAAGGAATCAAGGAAAGCCAGGTCTACAGAAAGCGAGGGTTTCCGTAAGAGATGACACAGACAGAGCCTTCTAAAGCTGATGTCCTGACTTTGAACTTCTAGCTTCCTAAACTGTGAGAAAATGAGTTTCTCTTCTTTAAGACAACCCACTTGTGGTATCTCTGTTACAGCAGCATTAAGACACCTGCCTTATCCCACCATATCAGGTGCTTTAAAAAGTTCATGGAAAAATGGAATTAAAACACAATGAAAAATTTACACTAATTTTTTGAAGCCCCCTCATGCTGTCAATTCTATTTCTCTCTATAGCATAGATAACGAATCCCCAAGTTGACCTGTTTAATAATCTTAACATTTCTTCATTCCAGTAAGAAAAAAATGCTTTACTTAGATTATCACAGGCAGTAGTAGCTACAGAATCAAATGCAAAGCAAAATGACAGCAGCTGTCATTAAACTCTTGCTGAAGTAGTACTAGACAATATAATCGTCTTAGATTATCTACTCAGAGAAAAGGTGGCCAACACTTACTACACTTCCATAAATAACTCATGATTAATAGAAACACAAGAAATACAAGAAAAGGGGAAATGCAAACCGACTAAGAAATATAACTGCTGAATCAAATTCTAACCCAATGATCTTTTTTTTTCATTGTAGTCTAGTGAAAGTTTATAGAGAAAATTAGTTTTTCATTGAATAATTCAAGCACATTTTGTTTCATGACATTGGTTGCTTAATATAACAGCACTCGTCACTTCCTCTCTAGGTTTCCATTTCCATTTGTCCTTCCTTCCCGCCACTTCCTATCTTCTGAACTTTGTCTTGGTCTCATAGTTAACAGTACTGAGTACAACCCTCCATGATGTTATCATCACCTGTCTATTATTTGAAAGAAAGTTTATCCCTGGGGGTTGGGGTTTCAGGCCACAGTCTCAGAGGTTCCACTAGTCTCTCTACCAGACCAGTTAAGTTTCATCTTTTTTATGTTTTAATTTTGTTCTACATTTTTATTCCTCCCCCTCTAAGCCCTTCTGTTGTGATCCTGATCAGAATGGCCAGCAGTGGTAGCCAGGCATTACTTATTTCTTCTTGCTTCTGGATAGTAGAGACTGTGGTTCCCAGGGTCCATTAGTCTTTTGGACTGTTTCCTTAAGTCTTTGATGTTCTTAACCCATTTGATCTTTTAACCTAGGATTTAATCTATAGACTCACAGGAATCTTTCAGATGAAAAGAATTATGCTTATAGTTCTTGTTATACTACATCCTTAATAAGATACGTATGTTCAAAGGCCTTAAATGTTTTTGAACACACTAAAATCCAAATGACTGCCATTCATCCGCAACAAAGATACCCTAAAGAAGCCATAAATGCCCGTATGTGCAAGCAAGACAAACTAATGAAGAACTTGACTTTAGGTGAATGAGTCATATGTCCATTTTGTCATTCTCAAGGAAAGTAAAGCAAGATGACCAAAAGGGGGAATTGTTAAAATTTTAGAGACAAGCACCAAAAACTAAACAAAAATTGTTATTATTGTTAAAAGCTATAAAGCTGGTTCCCACTCATAGCTGCCCTCTATAGAATTTCCAGAGAGCTTAAACTGCTGACCCTACAGTGTTTAGCCCACTTTTAAGAAACAATAACTTTACATAGAAATCTCAATTTTGACAGGAATCCTGGTGTCACACTGTAGGCTCAGCACTAGACAGCTTGCTAACTGCAAGGTCAGCATTTCAAACCCACCAGCTGCCCTTCGGAAACCCTCGCTACAGGGCCACAAGTGGGAACCTACTCCAATTTAGACAAGGTTTCCTTATCAAGTATGAATTAACAGGCATTAGCAATATTTATCTGCATTAGTTACCAACACACATCTAATTATGATAAACCAGCTTAGCATTTAGTGGCCAATTTCCTCCCCCCAAAAAGGACAAATTCCGTTATTAATGAGTCGAAGCAAAGGCAATATTAACTATGCTAACTCAAGTCCCTTTAAGGCTTGAATGTTGGGGTATTCCCTTTGTGACTAGCTTTTGGCTCAATAAACCGTGTTGACTGTAATTGATTTGATAAAAATCTCACTTTTCAACAATACTAAAAACAACTTTCCAACTCGCTTTGTGAGGGTGCCCCCACTTATGAGCATGAATAGGGTCCAAAAAGAAGGTCACTCAGCACGACTGTGCGATGCGGAAAATGGAGGACCACTGCGACCACAAGATGGAGAGTGACTACATCGTGACATCACCGCGGAACTATCAAATTACATCATTACCTAAGGGCCCGGTGAAAGCATTACTTAACTGCCAAGCCTCACCCTTATGTAACTGCCAAACCATCTAACCCTGTTTGCATAGCCCCCGGTCGAGTTAGTACTGGGCTTCCCGCTGGCGCGCAAACGCTTGGGGCGCTTTGTGGAGAGTGCAGGTGTGGAGTGGGGGTGTTGGTTGTTTGTTCAAAGCCCGAGCCCACCACGACGGCGCCTTTGGGCTCCCGCTGCCCACAAGGTGGCCGGAGTCCTTAGAGACAATGCGGGAGCCCCGCGCTCGGAACTTACTTTCCAGGTTTCTAACCTGTTCACCTCCGCTGAGGAACTGCCTATCTCATCTTCTCAGACGGCAGCCACCCACCACCCCCAAAAGGGCACCATTCACGCACTCCAGCGTCGCCAGCTTTGGAGGGCTCCGACCGGTGCTGGGAAGCCCGGGCGCTCGGCCCGATCTTACACACGGAAAGGCAACCACGGCCGGTCCCCTCGGCTCCTTTGTCCCCGTCCGAGGGACGGGAGATGGGGAAGAGGTAACGGACCCCAATGGGAGAGAAGGGGACGAGGCGGCCAGCAGCCTGTGCTCCAGCATCACCACCATCATCGCCATCCCTGCAGACAAAGTAGCCACCCCCGCCCCCACACGCCCCAGGCCCCCGCTCGCCGGGCCTCACCTTGCGTGGCGAAGGGCGACGGCGCGGCAGCGGCGGGCGGCGCGGGCGGAGGGGTGTCGACCGGGCCGAGCATGGAGGCGGGCAGCATGAGGAAGCGCTGCGGCGCGGGCAGGCAGCGCTGGCAGAAAGAGTGCAGGCAGGGCAGCAGCTTGGGCGCGCGGCTCTGGATGTTCTGGTGGCACACGGCGCAAGTGTCCAACAGGTTGAGGCGGGCCGCCTCGCCGCCACGCTCCGAGTCCGGGCCCTGCCGGCTCTCGGCCTCGTTCTCGCCGCTCGGCGCCGCCGCTGGGCCCCCGGAGGCCGCCGCCGCCGGGCCGGCCGCCGCCTTCTCCACAGCCACCTCCATTGTCCTGCCCGCGCCTCGCCGCCTGCCCGCCCGCCCGCCGGGGAGGGAGCGCCTCCCGCCGCCTCCTCCTGCTCCTGCTCCGGCTGCGGGAAGCTAACGTGCGGGCCACACACACGGGACGCCGAGCGGCCGCCTCAGCCCGCACGCCTCACGTACGCGGCCGGAAGCCGAGTCTGTCAACGGAGACCGGTGCTCGCGCCGGGCGCTGCGCCCTTCGTCTCCCCAACCGCCGCCCGCCCCGCCTTTCTCCCGACCGGCTCGCGAGTCCCGCCCACCGCCCGCCCAGCAACCAGAGCCGCCCGGTGAGGGCCATCCAATCAGCGCCTGACCAGGCGCGGAGGCGGAGCCGGAGCAGCCCGCGACGCGGCAGCTGCGAGCGGAGGGGGCGGGGTGTATGCGTCCCCGCCCCTTAGCCGCAGGGCCGCGGCCTCCCATTGGGCCTCCAAGGGGCTGCGCTCCCGTGCAGAGATGAAGGCACGTTTGTTAGCCACGGAGCTCCTGATTGGGCCCGCCTGTGTCGGCCCCTCTTGAAGGCGGAGACTGGCGGCTGGTAAACCACAGATTTCCTCATTGGATCCGCTTGACTCAGCCCCGCCTACGGAGCGGAGCCCGCTTACAGATGCTATTAATTAAGTACCTGCTTCAAAAACTCCGAAGGAGCGCTGGTGGCACTGTGTTTGAGTGCTAAGGTGATAACTGAAAGGTCTGAAGTGGAACCCACCATCTGCTCCACTGGAGAAATATGTGGAAGTCGACTTCTCTAAAGATTGTTGTTCTGGCTAAATGCCGTCGAACCTTGTAAATATGAGGCATTTCTACTTTGTCCCAGAGAAATCTACTGGGTGGCAATGAATCTGGTTTTCAGAGATCCTGATTTTCTACTTTACAAAGAGTAACTATGATAGGACACAAAGAGGGATCATGAAAAACAGTTATTGCTTTGTATTGTTTTTTAAGTAAAAGTATTGTGTCGTTGTGGAGGCAGCATTGATTCACAAGCCTGAATTGACTCTCCTCGGTCATGAGTGATAAGAGGTCCTGGTGACGGCGTGGTTAAAGAACTCACTGCTAACCATAAGGTATGCAGTTCAAATCCACCAACCACTCTGTGGAAGAAAGATGTAGCGGTTTTCTTTCATAGTGATTTGTTATTGTTAAGTGCTGTTGAGTTTGTTTGACTAATAGCAACCCTGTCTGGGGTTTCCATGGAGCAACTGGTGTCTTTGAACCGCCGACCTTGCAGTCCAGTGCGCGTTATCCTTCAGCGTGACACCAGAAATTCTTAAAGAGCTATGTGGTTGTTGTTAAGTGCCATAGAGTCATTCCGACTCATAGTGACCCTGTTTAGGGTTTCCGAGGAGCAGCTGGTGGGTTTGAACAACCAACTTTTTGGTTAGCAGTTCAATGTTGATCCTACAGCGCCACAACCAGGAATCCATAGCGATATGGAGCCCTCGAATCTCTGTGAGGTAGTTCTTTTTCCTACGATATCGCTATGAGTCAGAATCGACACAATAATAGTGAGTAATTACTAGAAGAATGAGCCCTGGTGACGCTGTGCGCTAAGAACTGCGCTACTAATCGAAAGACTGGTGGTTTAAATCCATCAGCCTCTCTACGGAATAAAGATATGGCAATCCTCGGGTCCGTAAAGATTCTTATTGGTTGCAATTCCAACTCACAGCAACCCTGTCTAGGGGTTCTGAGGAGAGGCTGGTGGGTCCTGCAGTACACACACCAGCCTTGGAAACCAAAAGAAGCAGTTCAACTCTGTCCTTTAGGGGGCACTATGACTTGCAATTGACACCGTAGTAGTGGGTAATGACTAGAAGGCATAGCCCTAGAGGCTCAGTGGTTAAACAGTCAGCTGCTAACCAAAAGGTCGGAAGTTTGAACCCATCAGTAGCTTCCTCAACAGGAGACAGATCGTGACAATCGGGTTCTGAAAAGATGACAGCACTGGACACCCTATGGGGCAGTTCTTCTCTGTCCTAAAGGGTCCACCTAAGCATCGTTTTTTCTGCTTCCGAGAACTACACAGGGGTAGCTCTGTCCTCAAGGCAACGTCTCCAATTGCAGGCAGATTCTCAGGTGTCAGGAAATGGGGACAGGGGGAGGGGGCAGGAATCTAGATCAGCCCAGCCACTGGGCTCTAAGCACATTAGTGAGGTAATACTAACCAGCCAGAGACCAAATGTCACACAATGCACCTGGGAAGAAAACAGGCTCCTCCGTGCGTGGTGGGCGTCACACCGACCACATAGCTAAAGGAAAAACGTATGCTGACCTTAGACGGCCATGGTCACTGCCCCTGGCCCCGACTGACAAGCTCATGGTGGCCAGAACCAGCCGCTTGTTACATCCCGAAAGGCGGTCTGCTCCGTCCACGGCTGCAGCTGCTGTTCTGAGGGCCTTCCAACCGAGGAAGGGGCCCCATGGTACAGCACTGAAGCACTCGACTGCCGACCACAAAGCTGGCAGTTTGAACCCACCAGCTGCTCAATGAGAGACTGATGTGGCAGTAGTCGGCTTCCATAGACATTCACAACCTTGGAAACCTTGTAGGACAGTCTTAGCCCATCCTACAGGGTCACTGAGAGCCAGAATCAACAGAAGGCAACAGGTTTTGGGTTTGTAATCAGTGACTTGAGTGTGAAGAACAAGAGGGAGGTTTCTTCTTGCAAGGCAGAAAATTTTAAAGGATTTTCCTAATTAAAAAGGTGAGAATGTTTAAAACCAATGATTTACTTTTCAAATGAATAATAGTAGTTTATTTACCAAGATATTATTATGCATGTAAAAATTACCTTTGCAAATCTTTGTTGTATAACTATTGTTGTTGTTGTTAAGTGCCATCTAGTTGGTGCCTACTCATAGTGACTCTGCATAAGATTTCCAAGGACTGGCTGGTGAGTTTGAACTGCTGACCTTATGGTTCAAATGGCCTTTTGGTTCAAATGCAGTCAAGTGCCTTATCACACAGCACCACACCAGGACTCCATAACTATGATATCATTAACAAAATAATAACTCTTAATATTGATGTCCAAGTAAATCATAACTTGAATATTATTTTTTATTTGCCAACACATATTAGAAGTTAGAGGAGCCATGTTGGTGCGGTGGTTAACTGCGTCTGGTTAGCAATCAAGCCAAAGAATCCGTTTTTATTTTCTTTTATTTGTTCATGAAGTGGGGGTGGGTAGGACTAAGGAGTTAGGATTAGTATTGGAACTATGGCTAGGTCTTGACTAGGACTAGGACTTGGTTTTGTGTTGGGATTATGTTTCTTGTTGTTATGTGCCGTGGAGTCGGTTCTGACTCATAGCGACCCTGCACAGGGTTTCTGACGCTGTAAATCTTTATGGGAGCAGAAAGCCTCATCTTTCTCCCACGGAGCAGCTGGTAGTTTCAAACTGCTGACCTTGCGGTTCGCAGCCTGATTCATAACACTTAGGACTAGGTTTATGTTAGGGGTAAGGATTTGGGTAGGGCTAAGAGTAAATCTTGGTCATGTTTTTAGTTTTTATTTCTTTCTTTCTTGAAATCTGATTTCCTCTTCATTTGAAAGTTCTATAACTACAGTACTCCCTTGTTTTACTTTATGGTTTTCTTGTTGTTGCAGCTGTATCTCAGGTTCTCTCTTTTCATTCTTATCGGCAGTTCAAATCTAACACTTGCTCTTCGGAAACCCTATATAGGGTCACTATGAGTCAGAACTCACTTGACAGTACTTAATAACCACAAGGATACTTTGCATACTTCTGTGATACTGCGGGATAATGCACTGGACTGCAAGGTCAGTTGGAGCTGCAAGGTCGGCAGTTCAAACCCACCAGCTGCTCCTCAGAAACCCTACATAGGAGTGCTCTGAGTTGGAACCGACTTGACAGCACATAACAACAACAAATATCTGTGTTAAAGGAGTCCTAGTAACACAGTGAATTATGGGCTGGGCTGCTAACTGCAAGGTTAGCAATGTTAACCTGTTGCTCCTATAAAGATTTACTGCCACAGAAACCCTATGAGGGGTCTTTATGGCTTGGAACTGACTCAGTGGCACACAACCACCACCTTACCTGATTGAGTCTGGGTGATATTGTCATGTATGGTAGTCTCAGGCTATTGTCTGCACTTGTGGGTTCTCTGTCCAAAGAACTCCCTTTAATATTTTTTGTAAGGTTGGTCTGGCTTTTACAAATTCTTTTCATTTGTTTGTCTGAAAATTCACTGTCATGTTTGATGGACAGTCTTCATGGATATATGATTCTTTGTTGGCAATTCTTTTCTTTCCAAGTTTTATATATGTCATTCCATTGTCTTTTAGCCTTTATGGTTTCTGCTGAGAAAACAGACTTTAGTCCTATTACTACTTCTCCTTTGTAAGTAACTTCTCATTTTTCCTGAGTTGTAATCAGAATTCTTTCTATGTCTTTGGTTTAAAAATGTTTGATTGTAATATGTCTTGGTGTTTTTCTTTCAGGGTTTATCCTATTTGGAGTTTAACTTTTTGACTGCTTATCTTCTTGTCTTTTATGTTAGGGAAGTTTTCTTCCAACAGCTCTTGGACAATATTCTCTAAGGGGTTCTTTTTGTTTAGTAAGTTTTGATATTATTTTTGTCTCTTCCTATTGGGGAATTCATATCACATGTAAGTTATTCCTCTTGATAGTGTTCCACATAAATCTTAGGCTTTCTTTGAATTTTTTTGTTTTCGTTCATTTGTTCTGATTGAATCTGCTTATTGTTGTTAAGTGTTGTTGAGTTGATTCCAACTCTTAGCAACCCTGTAGAGGGTTTCTGAGGTACAGCTGGTGGGTATGAATCACTGACCTTGCAGTTACCAGTCCAGTGCTTATCCTATAGCTCCTCCACTAAGATTGTTCCACTAGAAGATAATTATTGGCAGATTTTTCTTCAAACTCAGTAATTCGACTTTCTATTGATTCAGTTCTCTTTCTGTTCCCTTTTATTGTAGTATCTATTTCTTTTGGCTTTCTAATTGCTGTTTTTTGTGGGGGGAGGGGGCTTCAATTCTTTTGTCAACTTGTTTCCTGATTTTGCCATAGTT